AATTGTGTTGGAGTTAACTCCTGAGAGGCAGATTTGGGGTCCTTAGGCTTGGGGACTGGTGCCCTTACCTGCTAAGCCATCTCACAGGATACCCCCTTTTCCCACCATTTTTGGGGCCCGGTGAGGAAGAGACAGTCACTTGCTTACGTAGCTTAGTTGCCCACAATTTGGTTCTTATGCCCCAGCCCTGAAACCACTTGAATTGCAGGTGTGTGCCACCATTCCTGTTGAAAAGAATATTAATAGGTCTTCAAAAAAGTCTTCTGAGTTATTTATCTTTTTTGGGGGAGTGGGGGGGCTAACTTGAAATAATATGAAAATTTTAATTACCAGGGATAGAGGATTTGTAGGAGTTATGTTGCCTATCCTGAAAATCAAGTATGTTCTGAATTTCTTTTCTAATCTCAATTTGAGAGAAAAATATTATGACCTAGAGTTACTTTTTATGGTGTGTTTGTTTTGTTGTTTTAATGTGCATGGATATTTTTGTCTGCATGTGTGTCTGGGTACCACTTGTTTTGCCTGGTGCAAATGGAAGCTTGGGTGTCAGATCCCCTGGAATTGTAGTTAACTGTTTTGAGCCAACCATGTGTGTTGGGAATCAAACACAGGTCCTTTGGAAGAACAATCAGTATTTAACTGTTTAGCCATCTCTAGCCAAGAGTTACTATTTTGCCACTAATAATAGCGAAGAAGGAAGACAGTAGAAGACTGCTTCCTAAGCAAAGCACCCTGTCGTGAAAGCTTATTATCAGCTAGAAAACTCATCTAGTGAGGTTTGTTTTGATATAAAGAACCAGGTAGTTGGTTCCTTCAAGAGATTTAATAACTATAGCACACTGTGCTTTTGATTTTAAAGGGAAACAGTATATTTGTTTTTGGATGAGGAATTCTATACCTATATCTATGTAGGATTAAGATCACTGCTTAATTTTTTTTTTTTTTTCAATTCTGGGCATTTAGCCCAGGGGCTCATGCATGCTAGGCAGGTGTTGTCCATTGATCCCCCTACATCACAAAATTTAATACCTTAGGAGATAGAAAGTATCTTATTTAAAGAACTAGTTGATAACCTGAGATCAGGGATGTGCCCGTCCTGGTCAGTGACTTCCAAAAAGACCCAAAAGCCAGCTGGTTGAGGAATGCCAGTAGCAAATCACTTCAGCAGCATAATTCAGGAACAGAGCAACCTTGTATTACAAACCACGTTGACAGAACTGTAAGAGGTTGTCTGAACCTTTAAGAATAATTTATTGACTTCAGTAGGGCATGGTGGCATAGCCTTTAATCCTAGCAATTGAGATGCAGAAACTCTGTGGGTTCGAGGCCAGCCAGGGCTATATAGTGAGAGTATGTCTCAAAAACAAAACACAAGACATTGAGAAAAATAGTAGTTCCCTAGACATTGAGAAAAATAGTAGTTTGGAAAACATTTAAAAATATTTTTAATGTATAAATATACTTATTAGGAAAACAAAACCACTAAATTCTGGGTAAGTATTTTCAGTTTGTGGAAGTTTTAATGTAATTATTAGAAATGCTACCAATAGGTTGCAAAGGTCAGACTATTCTGTCTGATGTTCAATAATATTTTAAGAGCATTTTTATTTGTCATGCATTGTATGATACTGGGAAAACATTACAGACCCTGCTCTCAAGGATACAAGTGCTACTTGCATTTCTCAGTTACTTTAGCTAATAATCTCATGTTCCACTGTTGCATCCTAACGAGAACAGTGCTAACATTCTTGAACTATGTCTAGGCTCTGGCTTCAGATCTCGGTATATTGTCTGCCTGTGATTGTGCGTGCATGCAGCATGTACACATGCCCAAATAGGATATTGTGTGCCACTTTATTCCCTCAAATACACTGAACTTAGCTAACGAGAAATCCCAGGTGATCTCTCTGTGCCCAAGCAGTACTGGGTTACAGGATCATGGACACACTTCTACATTTCATGTAGGTGCTGGGATTTCAAACCTGTGTCTTCAATTTTCACAAACTCAGATCAGTCCTCCTGTCTCCCATTTCTCAAATGTTAGGATCTTTCTCTCTGTTCACATGTTCAGTATCCTTAACTGTATCTTTTACTGACTTTTGGCAGCAGTTTAAAATGTTTACTTTTACCCCCTTAAAATAATTCTTCTATTTCTCACTCTTTAATCTTTTAGTCATTCTTTTATCCCCAGCACAGGCCATTCTTCTTTCCACTTACCCTGTCAACCTTCCAAGTACTACCCTAAGAGCCTCTAGATACTTTGTGAATAGGATGAAATAAGTCTGGGGTCCTTTCATGTACCTGGCCTTTTCTCATGGTGTCTTACTCTTTGCTCCCCTGGTATTGCTTACCATTATCTAAACTCAGACCATTTTTCTTTCCAACCTAAGCACCAGATCTATAGTATTCATTGCTAAGTTTCTATACTTGGAAACAAATGGAATAATAATAGAGTTAAAGTTAAGCTCATTAAAAAAAAAAGTTCTCATGGAAAATCTGTTCTCAACTTCTAGTTAGAATTATTTAGATGGCTTATTATAATACAGGTTATTGCTGTTCTCCAAATGGCCAGCCTGAGAATTTTTTTTTTTTTGCAATGGTCCTTGTTGGTACTAGTATGTGGTCTTTAAGGACCAGTACATTAAGAGAGCAAAATGATCTGTTAAGGGAAGTGGAAGGGCTGGGATTCAATACCAGGTAGAAGCAAGCCTTCCCTTTTAACCAACCATCTGATGCAGAACATTATACTTCTCAGATGTGTTAGACTCAGTGCTCAAGAAAAAATATCTGTACCCTCTGTCCCACCTCCTGTGATTCCTTTGCTGCCATTAGAAGGTAACCTAACTTCATCCTACAATACTAATTCTGCCACCAAGTCTTGTATTAAAATTTACTTTCCTTTTTTTTATGACACTCAGCCCTCAGCTTGGGTTACTAACAACTATTTTCTTTCTGCCTGCCCTGTCTTCTCTCTCACTCTTCTTTTCTGCACCTCACACTCTGCACAGGGCACAGGCACTGGGCAACAAGTGTATAGCCTACAGCCTAGGATTGCTTTGTAATTGGTCTCTGCATCTCTTTTTACATTCCTTTTATTCATTCATGACAACATGAGTACCTTCTTACAATGCAAATAAGAGCTGTTCCTTAAACTATTTCCACCCTTTAAAATAAAGTACACAATCCTTATCATGACCTATACCCAGCCATTATTTTAGAGCACAGCCGAGTGATATTAGTTTCTTAGTATTTAAGTGATCTGGCCTTAATAATCAGTCACTTACTCGTACGCTGTGTCACATTCGAGTGTATGAATGAGTAGGTAGCAGCTTATTCACCCACTGTAAATATTTTTCAGGTAAATATCTACTTCTTTACACAGAGGTTTTTGTTTGCTTTGAGGGATCCTGAGCAGTCAAGGATGATCAGACCAAAGATGTCTTAAGGCAAGGAAATAGTTCACAAAGGAAGGATTTTAAATGTTTTCATATGCTTAACTCAGTTGAGTAGAAGAGGGTTTAATATACTGGGCACCATCCTAGGTCCTAGATGCAGGAACCTAACCAGAAAGACAAGGCTGATCTAAAAAGCTTAAATCATTGTAACAGCTATAATAAACCACTGAAAAAGACTCATTTCAGAAAGATCTTTATTTTGGCAAGCAAGGAGAGAAGCATTCATTGCTGTAGCTAGCATGAGAGGAATGAGTGAAGTCAGGTTTAACAGATTTACAGTCAATTACAGATTACAGTGAAAAGTACACCTCACCATCATGGCTTTAATAGAAATATTGCCCCTTGTCTTTCCAATAGATCAGATGAGCTCTTAGTCAACAACAATAATAACCACTTTATGAAATCTGCCCCTGGTATTTTAACTGTTTCTGTTTCTGCCAGTAAGAACACAGGTCCAAGCTGCTGTTAGCACATGTAGCTAATGCTACAACAGCAGCAGTTGGGTGTCAGGCAGGCATGGGACTGTAACATTTCGCTTGCGTTATTAAGCCAAAGTCCTGTATTGAACCTTTGATATGAAGTATATGAATGAGGACTCAAAGCATTTGTTCACATAGCCACTTAACAGCACCAGGTTAGCACCTGAGACACACCTTGGTTCTCTTTGTGTCTGTTTGTTTCTTGACAGGGTTTTTCTGTCCTGGACTTAAAGGTGACATTAAAGGTGTGTGCTACCACTCCCACTCTGGCACCTTGGTTCTTTCAAGCCCATTCCTAGTCAGTTGCACATGTTTTTGTGGTTGAAAACTAATGTTTTCATTATGGGTTAGAAATTCATAAATTGTGCCAAAAAAAGATGGCTCAGTGATTTAAGAGCTCTGGCTCCTACAGAGTTCCCAGGTTTGATTCCCAGCACCCACAAAGTGAGTGGCTCACAACTCTTCACAACCTCAGTTAGAGATCAAACAGACATACAGATGTCCACACACATGCATTCTGGCAAAACATTCATTCACAAAGGTAAAATCTTCATTGTTTAGGTGTATTTGTCTACCTCACGTGATGTTGTTTTTCTAGAGGGTGGCATTGGAGTGCTTTCCTGGTATATTTAGGATGTTGAGAGCCCTGGGCACAGTCTTCAGCCTCACACCAAACACTCAAAAACAGTTAATCACAGGTATTTTCACATTAGCACCATTTTCACAACACCAACTCGGAAATACCAGGGCTGCTGAAATGACTTGTAAAATATGAGTCTGCACCCTGTTTAAGTCCTAGAACTCCTGGATGGAGGGAACTGGCTATGCAAGCTCATGCTCTTCACATGTGTCGGATATAGGAAGCTGTGCCTTTATTTAACAGATAGTTGGGGGCGTCCATTTTAGACGAAAAAGATAAAGGGCCGTGCTGCACTTTGACAGTAGTGGGTACCTAATGCTTGCATTTGGCATGCATTGTAAATATCAACTAGGAAGAAAGAAAGTGCTGTTCTTGGGTGGATGGTTATGCTGTGGTTTGCAAATAAACTTGTCATGTCATTTTCAGATTTGGATGGTCCACTACTCTCAGGGCCCGATGGTGATAGGACCGTGAATGCAAGTTTATTGGCTGAGGCCTGCAGTGGTCAAGATGCAGGAGATGCTGGTAGGTACAGTACGAACTCTGAGAAGTTGTGAAGATTGTGGAGTGCTAGCTAGTATGCATGTTTACTGAAGTCTGTTGTAAATTCTTGGCTAGTTGTGTCTAAATGCTTCCAATTACCGACCACTCTGAGGTTAAAGTAGTGCTGTCTTTAGGAGCTTGGTAAATAAATATAAATTGATATTTTTTGTTTTATTTGAGGGAATTTAAAGTCAACATTTTAGACTTTTATTTTAAAGGTTGGGTATTTTGGCACTTATAGATTCCTGCCAGCATATTGATGGACTAAAAAGGGTAATTATCACAGTAGTTGATAATAGTTGGCCTTCAGAGGCACCGCATTCAAGTCACACATACACGCGTACACACACAATTAAATGTTACAAAAATATGTAGGAGAATTGTTAAGACATTTTAAATAGTAATGTTTAAATCGGTTATACTTTGGGAAAACTGGTTAAAAGGCAAAAATTATCTGGCTCTTTATATAAAATAGAATAAAAGAGAAAAAGATTCCTTTACTAAAGTATCAAAGTAGGTTGGTAGATTTGGACAGAAACCTATTTTTTTGTTATTTGGGGTTTTGTTTTTTTGTTTGTTTGTTTGTTTTGTTTTTTTTTGAGACAGGTTTCTCTGTGTAGCCTTGGCTGTCCTGGGCTCTTTGTAGACCAGGCTAGCCTGGAACTCACAGAAATCAGCCTTCCCTTCCTTCCCTGAGGGCTAGGATTACAGGCGTGTGCCACCACGCTGGGCTCAGAAACCTATTTATTAACCCTTATAAATAATAATGCTCCATAAAGCTTTTTTAGTACCACATTTTATTTGTGTGTGTGCATGCCTGCCTTACCAAGAAGAAAGATTATACGTTAAATACATCTGAGGAACATTAATACAACCAACTATTTAGAATTACTGTCATTAAGAACAACTTAATGAAATAAAGTGAGCACATTTTTGTGCTGCACTTCTAGACACACAGCATTACCTAGGTAGTGTTTTGCCTTGTTTTTTGAATCTTATCTGTGAGAAGAAGGTTCAAAAACACAGCAGGCTATTTAAGCCCTAATGTCTGGAAAGACACTATGTACTATGCACTATGGGTCTTTTAGCTCAGGGGCTTTTTGCCCTTTTAGGGGCATTTTGTGAACAGTTGGAAATGTGGAATATATATTATATGTTAGCAATATTCAGTTTCAAACTTGTGTGTGCCAAGGTTTTGTAGGAGAATGTTCTAGAATATGTGCACGTACACACATGTTGAATTCAGGCATAAAGCAAAAAGTACAGGTTACAGTAGTGTATAAAATTATAAATACAAAGGAAAATTGTGGCAGAATTAACATTTGAAGGTGAGAGGATGTAGCTGTCCAATTCAACTTTATGTAAGTTTGAAATCCTGTTTTAAATTAATGGTGGAAGAACAGGCAGCACTTCTTGTAAAACGCTGTCACTGTTTCTTGCTACTCCATTTTGGGTGCTGGAAATCAAAAGTAGGACCTGGGGTATGTCCTGTGCTTCTCAGGTACAGCCCAGAGTTCTACTCTGTAGCCCTGGCTGGCCTGGAACTCCTAGGGATCTGCCTTTCTCTACCTCCCAGGTGCTGGGGCTAAAGGCACATACTACAATGCCCAGCATGCCTATGGATTTTCTTTTCTTGAGAGATAGATAGAATTTTGAAGATTTAAAATTGTATAGAGAATTACTGCTGTTTTAAGAGTATTTAATAGAACCAATTATTTGATCTGAGAATGTAAAACTGTAAAATAATACACATAAGCATTTTTCAGTGGAGAATGAGCCATGTTATTTATTTTTTGTAGTGAATACTTTTTGGAATTTTAAAAAAATTTTATTTTCTTAACAATTTACTCATTATATATCCCCATTGAACCCCCTCCCTGAACCCCCTCAGTCCCACTCTTCCCCCTATCCCCTTCCCCTAGTCCACTGAAAGGGGGAGTTCTCCACTATTGCCATCTCCCCATAGTAAGTCTCATCAGGACTGCTTGGATGGATCCTCTTCCTCTGTGGCCTGGTAAGGCTGTATCACCAGGGGAGAGTGATCAGAGAGCAGTCAACTGAGTTCCTGGTAGAGGCAGCCCCTGCTGCCCTCCCTTAGAGGTCCACATGGAGACAGAGATGCTGATTGGCCACATCTGAGCAGGGGGTCTAGGTCCTCTCCATGCATGGTCGTCCATTGGTGCAACAGTCTCTGGCCTCAGATCTTTTAGTTTTGTTGGTCTCCTTGTGGGGCTCCTGTCCCCTCCATGTCCCTCCAGTCCCACCCACACCTTTCTTCCTCCATAAGACTCCCTGCACTTTGCCCAAAGTTTGGCCCTGAGTCTTAGCATCTGCTTCAATACCCTGTTGGGTGACTCCTTTCAGAGTGCTCTCTAGAGTAGACTCCCATGATAGAGAAATTGTGGTACATCTACACAATGGAATACTACTCTGCTATTAAAAACGAGGAAATCATGAAATTTGCAGGTAAATGGATGAAATTGGAAGAGAACATCCTGAGTGAGCTAACCTAGAAACATAAAGACAGGCATAGTATACATTGACTAATCAGCAGATATTAGCCGTAAAATATAGGATAGCCATTTATAGACCTAAAGAAGCTAAACACTAAGGAGGACCCTAGGCAAGATGCTTAAATCTCGTTCAGAATGGCAAATGGGATAGATGACCAGAAGTGGTAAAGAGAGGGAACAGGATGGAGCCTACTATTTATTTATTTTTTAAGAATCTGTCGTTGAATTTAGAGACATTTCCCTTAAGAGGACAACTTCATCCATAGTGTTTCCCTTCCTTCCTCCAAGGTCTGGCATATGCTAATCAAAGTGCTGGCTCAGCTTAGTTGTTTCTACCCATGGCCAGTCTTTGTTTTATGAGTTACAGCTCAAAACTGCTTTATCCTTACTTTATGGCATGATGTAGCACAGATGTTATTGAACATTGAGCACTTTTGAAGTACATCCTAAAGCCCCTTCAGCATGTTGAATTACAGTGCTTAATTCAACTCCTCATGTCACTGCTAGTAGAGGTCATCCATGAGATTTGGGGTGAGGGTTTTAAGTTTTAAAAAAAAAAAAATCCTTTTATTTTTTGGTGATACATGCTCTGGCACTAAGATCAGAAGACAGCATCTGGAAGTTGCCTTCTCCATGTGAGTCCCAGAGATCACCATCAGATGATCGGGCATGGCAAGGAAGCACGTTTAGCCACTGAGCCTTCTCACTGGCTACTTGTGTTTCTTACCCAGTACTATGTATGCAGAGAGGCATTGTGTTTGAAGACTGCTTTTTTCCCCCCAAATGTAATTCTGAATCTTGCATTGGCGGTTTATTAATCGTTTATATTCGGTCTACATGTATATAGTGAATACTATTTATTTGAATATATTAACAGATTTAATATTATTTTCTGAGGTCAGTTTTTGAAGTATTTGCAACAAGTCAAAAAATACCAGGTACATTCTAGCTTTCTAAATACATTTATTCAACAAATAAGTAAAGGGTGTGTGTGTTTTAGACATTAGAAGCACAGGTCTTAATGTCCTAGAGAGTAACATTTGTTTTGTACACAGTAACTTAAGGAATATAGACCATAAAGGCCAACTCAATTTAGAAATGTGAAAGTGGAAATTGATAGGTTGACTGTCCCAGGATGCCACCCCCATTCTTGTTCTTGTCCCCTGTTTGGGAATGTGCTCACTTTCTAATTTTGAAAACTTTTCTGCTAACAACATTGTTCCTATAATTATAGCCTGAGAGGGTTTTCTTGAATTAAAAAAGAACGAAGCAAAATTCCAAATTTAAGGCACTTTATATAGTAATAATGCAGTGTATTTAAAAAAAAAAAAAATCCCAGGAATCTTTTTTGCCTTCCTTGTATATTCTTTTTTTTTTTTTTAATAATTTATTTATTTTTATTTTATGTTCATTGATTGGTGTTTAGCCAGCATGTGTATCTGTGTGAGAATGTCAGCTCTTGGAATTACAGACAGTAGTGAGCTGCCATGTGGGTGCTGGGAGTTATACCCAGGTCCTCTGGAGGAGCATTCAGTGCTCTTAACCTCTGAGCCATCTCTCCAGCCCCCTCCTTCTATATTCTTTTACCAAAGAAAATCTTAACTATTTTTTAAGGGGACAATATGTCTGACAAGTGAGGACATTTTTTTTTTTAATGAAATCCAGAAGTTTATGGGGAAAAATTTTATTACAGATAGTACCCTTTCTCAGAACTTCTTAGGACCAGATGTGTTTGAAAGGTTGAAGTCTTTTAGATTTTGGAATATTGTACATATCCTTTACTGATGGAAGTAGCAATAGAGAGCAGTAGAGATTGGCATCTCTCATCTAAAAACTTAAAATATTAAGTGCTCCAAAATCTGAAAGTTTTGAGCACCAGTATAATATCTTAAAAGAATTCTAGATTTGTGAGCATTTGAGATGATGGATTTTTAGATTAGATTTAGATGGATTTTTAGATTACCTTTATTACTGCATGAATGAGCTCTGCGTGTTGGAATGGAATGTTGCAGTGGGAGTCTTTTTACCATGGAAAAACCACACAGAGGTTATTATTGTTTGAATGGAGCAGCTCAAAGCTGCAGTTGGAAAGAACGGTTTATCAGTTTAGTCTTTTCATTCAGTTATTGGAAGTGTAGGCTTGTCAGAGTATGTTAGGTGAGTAGTCAGTCCTTGATTCTTGCAGCCCAACAGGCTCTGAATTAGTTTGTTTTGGGTTTGGTCTTGTTTTTTGAGGCAGTCTTAGTCTGGCCTTGTATCAGGTTGCCTCGGCCTCCAGTATTGTGATTTTATTGTCTGAGAAAAAGAATCTTTGGCAGGTGTGGAGGTACAGTTGGGAGGAAAGGGCAGGAAGGTCCCAAGTTGATGGTCATTCTCAGCCACATAGCAAGTTCAAGGCCGGTCTGGACTGAATAAGAATTTCAAAGAGGGAAAAATGCAATTGCTGTAGCTGAGTGGGAACTGGGAAACAAGTTGACAGCCACTGAAAAAGAACCCACATGCTAGAATTGATGGCTGATTGGATTGAGTGGAAAACTAAAGATTCTTTGACCCAATAAAGTTATTAAAATGGAATTAAATCAAAAAAGAGATAATTCCTTTTGTGTTACTATAAACTAGGTTTTTGTTTTCTGTGTTTTTATCTATTAAGCGCACACTATGGAGGCTCAAGAGTTTTATATCCTTGCTGTATGGGAATTGAAATGAGGACCTTGTCTTTTGTTTAGGTTTTGGAGTAAAGACAAGGTGGGAGGGAATTGGGTATTTTTGTTTTGTTTTGTTTTTGTTTTCATTTTTGAGACAAGGTCTTTTTGGTGGCTATAGCTGACTTCTAATTCACAATGGATCTGGCCTTGGTTGGCCCTGAATTCCTCTGCTTGTCTCCCTTCCAAGTGCTAGGAGTGCAGGTGTGACCAGTACATGTCGCTTTACTTAGTTTATATTAAGCCACCATCATTGTTCTTTTTTTGTTTTTCTGTGACAGGGTTTCTCTGTGTAGCCTTGGTTGTCCTGGACGCTGTCCTGGGCTCACTTATTAGACCAGGCTGGCCTTGAACTCTGCCTGCCTCTGCTTCCGTGAGTGCTAGGATTACAGGTGTGTGCCACTGTGCCTGGATCCATCATTGCTCTTATATTGTATTTTATTTTCTTTGGATCTTATTAAGAGATAACAGACTTTTACCTAACCATTACCTCAAAATCACATTTCAATTGTACTAGGAGCATCACATGATTTCAAGTATAGTTTGATGCCTGGCACTTCAAGTGATTTCAAGTATGGATTGCTACCAAGTACTTCAAATGACTTCAAATTCGGATTGCTACCGGGTGCTTCAAATGATTTCAAGTTTGGATTATTGCCAGAATCTTGGCCCAAACAAGAAACGTGGGAAAATGGCAAGTATTGGTCAACTATACAAATAAAAAATTCTAAAATTTTAATGTTTTAAAACCTCCATATTCTGAGTTTTTAAAAATAAGTAGTTTTGTTAACAATTGCTATTCTTATGACATAGAATTGATAGAAGGCTTTTGTTTAATATATATTAATCAGTACTATTTTTCCTCTTCAAGGTGACTCATCTCTAATCATGAACAAGCTAAAATGCCCTCATTGTAGCTATGTAGCCAAATACAGACGAACACTAAAAAGGCACTTGCTCATTCATACTGGAGTAAGATCATTTAGCTGTGACATTTGTGGAAAGCTGTTTACTAGAAGAGAACATGTAAAAAGACATTCCCTGGTAAGTGACTTTTAAACCCAGCTGACTGTGGAGCTAAGTGTTTCTATGTCAGTGATGTTTAAAGCATTTTACCTGCAATTAAAGGAACAATGGTAAGTTGCTTTAAACGATTATTTTTGAGCTGATGTATTATACTTCATCTAGTAACATTAATTAGCTGTTCATTCATTATTAAATGCATGACTTAATTTTAATAGGTCAAATACGTTCTTTATCTGTACTTTCCTTATTTTCCCCCTTCACTTAGGTGCATAAAAAGGATAAGAAGTACAAGTGCATGGTGTGTAAGAAGATCTTCATGCTAGCAGCCAGTGTTGGAATAAGACACGGGTCTCGGCGCTATGGAGTGTGTATGGACTGTGCAGATAAATCTCAGCCAGGAGGACAAGAAAGTGTAGACCAGGGACAGGATACAGAGTTCCCTCGGGATGAAGAGTACGAGGAGAATGAAGGAGGGGAGCCTGACGAAGAGCTGGCTGAGAATGGGGAAGACCAGAATGATGCATCCCGATGGGATGAGTCTGGAGATGTCTGTATGTCTCTGGATGATTAACTGATCTACTATGTTCCTCAAGAATGCTGCATTTGGACATACTATGAATCGACAATTTGGATTGTTGAACTTGAAGGCTTGCAAAATATGGTACATGCTGGATGGTAGTTATGTTGCTGTGAAAAACTGTAGGGTTAAAGCCTTATAGCAAAAAATTTTTTTTATATTTGCACAGGACTGTACAACAAACAACCGTGTGGTTGGATACATGGAGTCCCCACATATTCAGTCAGTTATCAAAGTAAACTATTTTTTATTTATAGGATATACAGTTAACTATTGGGTTCTATGAAAATATAGTACTTGTCCTTTATAGAGCTCACATTCATGTGCCACTTTAACATGAATGAACAAAGTCCATTTATGGAAGTGCAGTGACAGTTGACCCAATCACTCTGTCAATCAAACCACTCAGGCTAGTTTGTACTAGTAGAGTTTTGTTTCTATTTTTATTTTATTAATTTTATTTTTTTTAATACAGATTTTCAGTGAGGGGCTTTTTCAACCCCGTTGGTTCTATTTTCTTGTATTTTTTTCATTTTATTTGCTTCATAACTTAAACCAAGTCTCTTCTAGTCTTAGATATTATTTCTTAATTTTGTGCTGATAGGCATGTTTATAAGAACTGGAGAGGTAATTTATTGGAATGAACTAACTGACTCCCCTGTCCTCCCTTCCTTTTTTGACATGAATTTTACTACTTCACAAATGAAGAATGATGTTGCGAAGTTACCATGGTGAAGCTGATAAATACCACTAAAATGATTATGACATAGAAGTAACTTTCTCCTGCTGCTCTAATTGATAAATGGTTACTATATGATGCTTTCTGACCTGGTTTTGGTTTTGGGTATCTGTTACTTTGGCACAATTCTTGTTTGCCTCTTATCGTTTTGCCAGTGTACTATACCTCAGCCTTATTTGAAATATAGACGTCTAATTGAAGAAAAGACATAAATACGTAAAATGATTTGTTTTATAATTTATCCGCCATGTCCAGTTTGGTTAGCATGTTATGCAATATAAGTGAAATATCAGGTTTTTTTCTCCTATGCCCTTTTTTATCATTAAAATTAACACAAAATGTGCATTCTCTTTTGTTTCATACTTACCGGGATATTGAATGTTTTTAAATTGTGGTTGATAATTTACTTTTTCCATTGCTTAAAGTCACCACGCCTTGATGAAATCTTTATAGTCACCATGATTCAACAATCTGCAAGAAATATTACAAATAAAATGTTGAGCCTTTATTGTTCCATTATCTAAATTCTTCAGGAGTCAGAGTGATTCATGTAGTTGAAACTACTAGATTTATTTAGCCTGGTGACAGATGAATTAGCTGATAGTGGAACTCTCAGCAGCTTTTACATGCTAACATGCTGACATATATCAGGAGCATATTATATATTATATAAGATTGAGAGACATCATATTTTCAGCTTTCTTTTAAATACAAATTGAGTATATTTTCCTATTTTATATCAAGTAACTAAATTATGCCAGTTGTGTGGAAGAAACCACAGAGCTGCTTTGACAGATACAATCTTTTTGGTGCTCCATCTGGTCAAAATTGAATAGTTGATTTTCTTTTTAAAGAGACAAACTTCATCATTGCCTCTGATTTCAGTAGAATAATGGTTAGATATTGGACAGTGACTTTCTGCGTGGATTAATCAGAGATGAAATAGTACTGCCTGGTGAGATGCACTCATTGCCCTCTGAACAGTGTGATAGATAGTCTCTGAGTACCTGGGAGGCTGGCAGAAGAGGAATTTTGCTTTGATTTTTGTTTGAAATGAAGAGTACAACTTATTCTGTGTTTGAAACAAATGAGTAAAATGTAATACTAGTAAAGTCCAAAGTAGACATAGTTGGGCAGAGATATTATGAATGAAAAAGTATTTTAAACGTAAAATGTTCTGCTTTGTGAATATGTAAGTATAGTATAAAGATTTCTTTCATCCCATTTATCCCCTTCCTTTAAAATAAACCATAGTTTACAATTGGTAGATCTGTCTATATATAAATATATATTAAAGAGCAAATATATATATTTAAAAAAATCACCTAAATCTGCTTTATTAGACAGTAGTTCACTTACTGCATAGAAACTGGACTTGGCTTTACACTCTTAAAGTACTTTATTTTACTCAAAATAAGACCTTATCTTGAAACAGAATTTCTTTTATTACTTAAATCATTTATGTATATCTGGTAAATTATGACCAAATTTTTGTTAGATTGCATACAGTAAATTGAAATACACATTTGGTACACTACGGGAGTGTTGTGCTTTTGTTTGGTTTTAGTTGGAAACAGGTTTGATGTAGATGGTGACTTGTTACTGTTAATTTAAAACATTTTATAATTGTCCATTGCCTTTTATGTCGTGTTGTGACAGATTTGGCTATATTTTTAGTCATCTGAAATATACTTTAAAAAGCTTGTTTTTAGGTAATCCAAAGGAAAAAAATGTTTATACTCTTGAATATATATTTGCCTCAGCCTATATAAAAGTTTCTTTGAAGTAAACACTTTACCAGAAACAGAATTGACAGGTTTTCTCCTTGCTGACTGCCTAAGTTATTTTGTGTCTTGAGGGATTGCCTTTTCCCTTCTAGATCCTTTTTTAAATAGTTTTAGTACTAAGGTATACTACTGGACATTTCTATTTTTTTAAGTATATTCCTTTTTGACAATACAACTTCAGGAAGTTGATAAATCTCTAAGAACTTTTGATTGGTCTCAGAAAGGTAATTGAATACTCATAATTTTGTCTGGAATTCTGGCAGAGTTATGTTGTATATTTGGTGAAGTTTTTCTTGTAATTTATATTTTAAATAAAATATTTTTAGAGTTTTTAATTTTAATGAAGGGGAAGAACATACACTTTCATATTCCACAGTGGTAATACTATGTCATAAATTCAGATCATGTCTTATTTCTCCCACACAGTTACTTTCGTATGGTCCCTCATTTGTCACAATTCTTGACTCTTGGTTTTTTTTTTTTTTAATTAATTAGACAAGTTGCTAAATTTTCGTACCCTCATGATCAAGAGCTTGGGGGTGGGGAGGGGTGTGCAGTATTGGAAGAGGAAACTGGACAATAACCAGGAGCTTTGAATTTTAGGGCAAAAAAACACTACCTGGCTCAAGGCCATCCTAATGAAGAGAGTTACTTACAGAATACTCAAGCATGCCAGGTACACAGTGCATGTGAACCAAGAAGAAGAGCTGGCAGCAGGGAGAAATCCGCAAAGTCGAGAATGATGATGGGAAATGTGGGAAAGTCATGACAGGAAGCTCTGAGAGCTGAGAACCACGAGCTCTGTGGTTTGAGCATTCTCTGAACATAGCATAAGAGATGTAGATTCATTCCTCTGCTTTATGACTCAGAAGCTCCCACTTTTTGGTATGCCCACACTTGTGTTGTCTGCCTTATTCTTTTCTAACCTCTATAAGGTAGGTGCTATTCTATTTTACAAATAAGGAAAGGCTCAGAGAAACTCAGACACTTGCCTAACTACCACAGCTTTCTAGAGCTGGGTTTGATCAGGTCTGATTCTGAAGCCCCTACTCTGTTTAGGAGGCTCTATTGGTGCCTCACAAAACACATGTTTTGTAAATTTATATTCTCCCTATAAAACAGCTAAGTTAGGAATTTTGTATCCTTACTGCCCCCAGTAAATATCCTTACCACATTTTTCTTCTGGTAGAGTTGTTTTTGTCACTGACTTAAACACACCTCATTGTAGTCGATATTATTAGTGGGCTGTGACATTTTCACTTTTAAAAAGGATGGGTTTTTGATATGAAGAACTAGATACAAGCCCCAGTTTTGTGCCGTTGAGTCACCCGGATCCTTAAGCTTAACTATGGTACCTAATCTACACAGTTAGAACTAACAGGTGTTCTCTTAGTTAATTTAGGATTTAAAATAGGGTTATTTATTTTGTTTCTTCTTTCCCTGCTGTGTCCCAGTCTTCAAGTGAAGTTGAACAAAGTAGTTTAAAACATGTTAGGGATAAGCACACTTTGAAAGATGTTTTCTAGCCCTGAATTTTAGGACATTGGGCACTAAATTTGGAATACGCCAAATATTGAGAACAAAATTTGGGGTTTAAGAAAGGGATGATTGAGGCCATTCTGGTATGGGAGAATCAGCATCTTAAACACTGTAAACAGAATACTTTCTTCTGCCTGCTGTTTGTAAAAGCTCCCTGGAAGACCTTTTACAAAGACCAATTTTTTTAAATGTAATTTACCTACCTAATATAAGTGTCCTGAGACATGTATGTAAACCTCCAAAACCTGTTTGTCTGTGTATTTAGAAAATACACAAGAATCTTTATCAAACTTAAAATATAAACTTGTGAGCACTAAACTGCTTCTGGCTTTGTGAATTTTATTGCTGCTTAATTCTGATTTATTTGCAGGTGTGCTAGTTTAGACTCTGGGTAAGGGAAACACCTTTTTAAACTTGGACATTCAGCTACCTTTGTACTTGAAATGTACAGGTTTGAATTGTAGAATCTGATGAGGTTTTTTGTCTGTTTCTTTTAAGGAAGTGCATAAATAAGAATACCTGCCCCCTCCGTACAGGGCTTCTTTCTTTAATAGAGAGCAGGGATGTGTATTCATTGGTGTTTATCTTTTTTTAGAAGTTTTATAGGCTTTAGAAGACATTAAAAAATACCCTGTAATTCACATTTGTGAATTCTCTTGAGGAAATGGGGTTGAAAATAAAAGGTGGAACACTGTCCCATTGTATATTGTATATTAGAAAAATAGGTTACAAGTAAATGTGTAAGATTACAAATTTCAATTTTTTGGAATTTTAAGTTCCCTCCTTTCCTTCTTGCTGGATGGTCCTTGCTGTATATATAGCAAAGGCTAATCTCAAACCCTCAAGATCCCTGTGTCCCAACCTCTGAACTCCAGGATTACTGATGTCATCTGCTACACCCAACTTTTTGTGTTAGTAATAGAAGAGAGGAGCTCAATAGCCAGATAAGTCCACTTTATTAGAGAAATGAGTTTTTAGATTGGTGGGGCAGAGAAAGGTGAGATTGGCAGTGATGGGGTCACATAGCACATGTCATAGAGAACTGGCAGGTACAGAAGAAAGATGTGTTCTATGTGGTTTCAAGAGACAGTATTAGGAACACTTAATAAGATAGGGCTGCTTGCGAGTGGGAGATTCCACCACTGCATGTTTTAGATGTGTAAGTGATTAGTTGACAGTTGTCTTGGCTGAAGCAGTAGTAGCCAAATATTTTTGTTTTAGTGAGTCTTGTTACTTTTTAAAGAATTGGGACTATCGTAGTTGCCAACTTTTTATCTTCCTGCTTAGTTCATGTACTGTGTATGTGCAAACATTTAAAGAAGATTGTTTTGACATTAACAGGCAATTTAGAAGTCATGTTTAGCCTTATGAAAAATAAATGCTGTCTAAGCTTTTCAATACAAATCATTGTCATAAACCAGCGTTTGGGAGCTGGCAAAGAGAAGTATTGGACTTATGACTAAATGATCTTAGAATTCACCCTGGAATGGTGTCTCACTTAATCTAGCAATCTGGGAGACAAACAGGAAGATCTCTGTGAGGTTGAGGCCAGCCTGGTCTAAATACTGGGTTTCAGGATAGCCAAGACCCACAGAGAGCCTGTCTCAAAAAAAAAACCAACAAAGAATTCTTTAGTTTTTTGGGGTTTTTTGTTGTTGTTGTTGTTGTTTGTTTTGTTTTCTGTTTTTCAAGATAGAGTTTCTCTGTGTAGCCTTGGCTGTCGTGGACTCACTTCTTGACTTCACTTAGAGGTCTGCCTGACTCTTCCTCCCGGAGTGCTGGGATCACAGGTTGGCCACCATGCCTGACAATTCTTTACTTTTAGAGTTTAGTCTTTGAAATATTTACCATTCTAAAGTTAATAAATCCTAGAGTTGCTAAAATAAGCTGGAGGAAACCTAAAGCAAAAAAACTAGGCTCAGAACTGGTTGTGGTAGAGCATATACATCTCCAGTGCTGGAACTCAGGTGACGAGGCATGGCCTGTGCTGCATGGCAAAGCCTATCTGAGAGAACACTGGCTGCTAGCAGCCTGGTGGCTTCTTACTATAGCCTGCATCTTTTGGTTTCTTCACAATATGGTTGGTCTTATTAGCAAAGTGTAATTAGGTGTCTGGTCTATCTCAGCAAGGGGCAGAAGACTGATTGCTTGACACATCGCAGCAGTTACTAAGAACAATATGAACGTTTCAAAACAAATAGAAAATTGAGTTGAAAGGGACCAGAGAGCTTATTGCAGTGACATCACAGATAACTTTATGGCCCAGGACTCCTGAAACTTCATTTCAGTTTGTGTCAAACATGATTAGTTTGGAGGCATTGCCTGTTGTGAAATACGGTGATCACTTGAGCCTTAGGGGTCCTTTTTCCTAACAAGTATAGGTCTTGAATAACTGTGCTTCAAGATGGAAGGACTGAACAACCCTTAGTGGACAGCATTTGTTATTTATATTAATCTCCAACATTTAGAATGCATAAAAGGATTAGCCATTTGCTACAAAACCATTTGACCAGAATTCAGTTTGCCAGTGTATTTTGTATTTGTGAAGAGGCTTATTGGGTCTTGTATCTATGTTTGGTCATATGAGAGTGAAAGTTAACCTGCCAATTTGTTCCAGTGTTGTTTTTAATTGTGTATATATGGGCATGAAAGCTGTGGTTCGTGTGAGAGTGGAGTCAGTTCTCTTTCTGCTTTTGTGTGGGTTACAGGGGTTAAAAAAGACATTTGCCCTTGAGTCAACTCCCAACACTGTTAAAGTTTTTGAGATAGAGTCTTTGTAGCTGCTGCTAGTCTTGGTGTGCTAGGCTGGCCTGGAATTCATGGTTACCGTCATCAGTGTGTATGTGCATTCATAGAAATAGGTATATCGCTGTTTAGCCAATGTTCTGATCAACGTAGGAGCTAGCAGATTTGTTTTAAAGAAAGAGTAAATCTGGCCATG